GCTATGTAACGGAGCCGTGAAGCACTCTGTGGCCTGTGGGTAGTAGAAGCACAGAGGTGACGCATGACAGCCCAGCGGCAATCCTTTGAACTTCAAGTCTCACTCTTGTCTGTCTTCCCATGGCACTGGTGACTTTAGAATGCTTCCTGAAGCTCTGTGGCCCAGCCTTTATCTGCAGATGTTCATTCCTCCAGAGCAGACCCAAGGAGGCCCCCGATGTCTCAGCAGACCTTGCTTTGGTTCTGGTATGGCAGCAGGTGACCATGACCTAGCCTATGGGAAGTAGCTCATTCTTCCCACACTATAGCCTTAGCAAGGCCACCCTGAAGTGGGTTCACAGTGTTTGAAGTTCCCAAGGTCACTCAAGGATGCTGAGGTTTTCCCACGAAGAACTTCTTCTCACCAGCTTATGTTATCATGGGGTTTTATCCAGGAGTACAAACCTATCTAGCCTGGCAGGCTAACCATTGAGAGAAAGAATGAGTTCCTATTCCCAGCCTGGACCTTTTGTTTTGTTAAATATTTATAGGCCACTTTCCCAGCCTCCCTCCCCCACAAAACACCAGTTTATCAAAAATGCCCTTGTGAATAGAAACCTCTGCATGTGACCCAAGCATTGCAGTGGGCTGTCCCATGTACACATAGTGACACAGTGAGTATTTCCTGTGAACAGGGAACCTTCCGGGTCCCACCATTGTTGTTCAACCTTTGCCTGGAAAGAACCAAAAATTATTTACTAGGGACGGGCGTTGTGTTTGTTTAGGGCTTTGCTGGGAACCGCCTGGCTGAGGCATCCCAGGGACGTGGTGTTGGCAGCCAAGTGTTGGGGGTGGCAACACCCCTTGCTCATCCTGGGCAGCACTGGAGATGTGATGGAAAGTATTGACTTGCCACTGTGATGGGACAGTGCTGTCATCTGGTTAGAGCCCTTTTGGGGGCTGGTAGTGGGGAGCTCTGTCACTTGACAGCCCTCATACAGGTAGCTAAAACATAGTGTTTGGTTTCCTGGGGGCCAGGGTCTGGAGTCTAAAATAGACCCCTGGGTAGATGGGCATAGCAAAAAACAAAAACAAACAAGCAAAACCCAAACAAAAAGCAAATGGCTGCAGTGCCATCACTGGCACTGTTTGTGTCCCTATGCCTGTGTTCTTGGCCCCTTGTCCCCTCTGTTTGGTTTGCATAGCTCTGGATGTCTATAGCCAATGTTGCCACCCTCCGCCTTCCATAGCTGGGCACGTGACTGCCTAGCTAGCCATGTTTCCTGCTCCAGTAGGATTCTGGGTTCCTCCAGCATACAGTGCAGCACCTAGTATGTCACCACCCTGTGGCTGTTAGCATCATGTGGAGGTCTTACCCAGGTCCATGCCTCTTCAGGAGAGAACTTGTGGTGGAGTGCTGGTATGGCTGGGTAACGTCATGTCACAGGTACAGTGTCAGCTGAGTGGCCTGCCATGACATTCCTAATGAACACAGCAAAAGTTGGCAGAACTAGAGACCAAAATGTAGAACTTAACTTTGTAGTTAACATTGCTACGTCAACAGTGGTAGGGTGGTTTGCTTTTTGTTTTGGTCAACTTGACACAAGTTACAGTTATCTGGGAAGAGGAACCTCAGTTGAGAAAATGCCTTCATACCTGATTCATGACTGACATGGTTGACATGACCCAGCCCATTGTGAGTAGTGTCACCCCTCTGCAGGTGGTCCTAAGTTGTATAAAAAAGCAGGCTGAGAAAGCCAGTAGGCAGAGTTCCTCCTCTGGCTTCTTCATCATTTCCAATCCCCAGTCCTGCCTTGAGTCCCTGCGCTGACTTCCCTCAGTGAGGGACTGTAACCTGAAAACTGTGAGATGAAATAAAGCCTTTCCTCCCCGTATTGCTTTTGATCATGATATTTATCAACGCCATAGAAGACAAAGGGCTAGAGTTGAGACTGACAGCTTATGGCCAGTGCTCATCTCTGCCCCTGGAGCCAGTGGGTGAGCAGCCCCAGACCCCAACAGATGGACTGGCTGTGCACAAGACTTTACTGATGGACACCGAAGCTTGAATTTTATGTTTTTTCAAAGTTCATTTATTTTTATGTATGTTGGTGTTTTGCCTGCAAATATGTCTTTGCACCACACATGTGCCTGGTGCTCATGGAGGCCAGAAGAATATGTCAGATCCCCTGGGACTGGAGTTACAGATAGTTAAGAGCTGTTACAGATGTCAGGTCCTTTGGAAGAGCATCCACTGCTCTTAACCACTGAGCCATCTCTCCAGCCACTCCATAAGCAGTTTGTGGCAGTAAGTATTACAGCCATCTTTTGTAATATGTATGTAGAGGACCACATGATCTTGGGCATGCTCTCCCCGTTCTGGAACCGTAGCTGTTGGGCTGTGGCTGTGATGGCTAAAGCTGTCAGTAACTGCAGCTGGTCCAAGGTCTCCTTGGGATGCTCTATCCCTGTTCCTGTGCAGCCTCCTGCTAGCCATGCCCACCTGGAGGAGCCAGTACTGTTCACTGACTCGCATTTCCTGCATCAGTAAGTGTCAGTGCATGCCCTCATTCGGTAGCCAGCTCTATACTGTGTGTGTGTGTGTGTGTGTGTGTCTGTGTGTGTCTGTGTGTGTGTGTGTGTGTGTGTGTGTGTGTGTGTGTGTCTGTCTGTCTGTCTGTCTGTCTGTCCTGTGGCCCACGGATGGAGTTATCACAGGATAGCTATGAATGTAGGCCAACATATTATAGATGACAGTGTCATGTGCAAGTGTCAACAAGTTGGATACCTTGCTCTAGAACCCGCACTGTCTGTCCATCCATCTTACGTGAGAGCATTTATTGTTGTACTCTAGTCTGTAGAGTACTGTCGTAGCCTACTCATCTGTAGTCTAGAGATGGGAAGCACACTATTCTCCCATCTGCATGCTCAGATGAATACCCATCCCTGTCTTTCCCACTGTCTGGGCTACTTCCTGCCCCTTTGCTAGATGCTACAGACTTCTGAGAGCCTGTCAGTCATCTGTGACTCCTGTCTACCTGTGTGTGTAACCTGCTAGTGTGGCTTTGCTGAGGTTAGTAAGGGCTGATGCCTGGACCTACTGACATGATGCCAGGGTGGTGGGGCCACAGGCTCCATTGGTGTTGGCACTGTCACCTCGCTAGAGAGGTCTGGCCAATGAGAACGCCCGGGTCAAAGGTGGCCACAGGTGGTTGGACTGTACAGCAGCATCAGCAGCAGCAGCACAGTATCAGTTCTAAGAGGGACCGTGTTGGTGGAGAGAGGGCCTGGCCCATCCAGGCCTTGTCTCACAGCCTGCTTGAGTCAGCGGACCTCTGTATGTCCTGTTTGGCTCTTGACTGGAAGAGGGACAAGGGAACTTGCTGGTCACAGTGTCTCCAGGGAGCCATAGCCTGACTGGGACAAGCCCAGGGCCTCTGGATCTATATAACATGGAACCCTGTATTCAGGGTGGGAAGGCACTGTGGGCAGTCGAAGGCTGTGGTACCTCCTGAATGGTAACCCTCCCCCATTCCCCAGGTGTTGTCAAGTGTCAGCAAGAGGGCTGCCACAGGCAGGAAAGTGTCCCATGCACACAGGAGTGGATTAGGCTCCTTATTCACTTGGAGTTGGTGGCATGACCAACGGGAGGCTCATGAACCCCAGACTGCCTTGTTCTCTCTGGGTCATTTTGATTAGGGGTTGTGCTGAGACACAGGGCACATGAGTGTTGCTGACGGCAGGCGAGGGTAGTATGATGGGAACGGCCTTGGTCCCTTGAATGCCTTGCCTAGTAAGGCTGAAGAGCTCACAGAGCATTAGAGCCCCACCTGGCTCGTCTGGCGGAACTCACTGGCCAGACTCTAGTTCCCTGATTCTGGTCTGTTCTGCTGGCTTGGGATGGGAACAGATCTAGCCTTCCTGTGGCCAGACTTGACTGCAGAGGTCAGAACACACACCTTAGACCCTGGCAGCGTGCCCTGGTACCTCATGGTGTGATGGCAAAGGGTTCTGCAAGGTGCTTCCTCCCCTAGGCACACCCTCCTCCCACACAGCGCTTGTTTTTCTTGTCAGCTCAACATGAGCCTTGTTTCCGAGTGTGAAATGCTTGTCTGATGAAGAGGTGACATGCCAGGTCCTTTGGATTTTAAGCAAACTATGGGTTGTTGTAAAATTTGGAGTGTTGTGCTGATCTTATGCTGACACTCAGAGCCTCCCAACCACATCCAGGACATATGGTATGCCATTGCTCACCCAGCAGCCCGTCACTGCCCTCGTAGGGATAATTAGCACTCTGACTTGGACTAGCAGAGTCCTTTATGAGACTTTGGATGTCACTCGAGGGAATGGTATGGAATATGCTTATGAGCAAGGATCTCTATGGTACAGAGAGAGGCTCATCAGAACTGCTGGCCGCTGTGTGAGTGCATTCAGGGCCATCATCCTTCATCTGTCTGTTGACACCACATTTGAATTTATACGACAGGGAGGTGGCATAGACTGTGGTGTCAGGCTGCCCAGGCTCCATCCTGAGGCCACCATACTCGTGCCATGCCTAGATAGGGAGAGCTAAATGGAAGAAGAAGCATTGGGTGCTGGCCACAGATGGATACATGTGGACTTAAACCACCCCAGTGGTTGGGGCACCCACTGCGGAGGTAACTTTCTAAGGCTTTGGCAAGACCCTCTGTGATAGTTTTGCCCCAGTGAGGTCCAAAATGAATCGACTCTTATTATTCCTGCAGTTGCAGCCGCCGTCCACTTCCTAGTGTGCTGTGGAGAGACAGGGCCCATGCCTGGTACCCTGCAGGACTTTACAGCAGCTCAGCCTTGCTCAGCGTGGTGGCCCTGCAGGCAGAGCCCAGTACTGGCTCCAAGGTCTGGAGTTCCTTCTTTGTCTAGCATCCTCAGAGCCAGAAGACCCTCAGGGAGAAGGTTTTTCCCAAGGAGGCTCGAGGGGGCAAGCGTGCGTGTTTATGTGGGATGTGAGAAGTGATGGGTGACGGGCTGTGTGTCCTGCAGGCCTCCCTGAGCAGTACTACAGCCTCACCTGGTTCCTGAGCCCTGTCCTTGGTCTCATCTTCACACCACTCATCGGCTCTGCAAGTGACCGCTGTACCCTGAGTTGGGGCCGCCGGCGGCCCTTCATCCTCGTGCTGTGTGTGGGGGTCCTCATCGGTGTTGCACTTTTCCTCAACGGCTCTGCCATCGGTGAGTGTTTGCTGAGCTTGTGCTAGTGAACGCTTTGGGGGCCTTATCTGATGGCTTCACTGGGTCACTGTATGCAGGGACCAGCTCGGACCGGCTCAGGCCGCTGAGGGCTGCCTGGTAGGGACTGCTGCGGGGAGCTTGGTAGTGGAACTGGCCCCACATGGGAAAGCTGGAGGAACCTGTTCACAGGGAAACGCTTCCTGTTGTGATGGCTTGTTTTTAATGCGTATCTGACACCACGTCCTGTTTCCAGAGTGATTTCAGAAATTATCTTTTCCTTTTTTGTTCTCCTTTTCTTAGACATGGCAGTGAAAATGTCCAGGACCCAGTTTGCTGTTTGTTTTCTTGGTCCATGCCTCATGTTGTTTTGCCTCTCTCTGTTGTTTTGTTATTAATTATAAAGCCACTCTGTGTGGGAAAATATTTTCTGCCTTGCAGGCACCGTTCAAAACCGGTGAAAACAAAGCCTTGTGTTTTTGGCTCAGCGGGTGAAGCAGTGCCCTGTGGGTTCTGAAGTGCAGGTCTGTGGCAGCGTGGCTATGGGCAGAGAGGTCCCAGAAGACCACCGCCTCCTTGGGGCAGTCTCGGTGTCTCAGGGCCAGCATAGGGACAGTCTGGTAGCTTTGCTTCCTTCCCCCCTGGCCTGTGTCCTTGTGATTCATACCTGGACCAGGCAGCCTCCTCTACCGGGAACGGCTCCCGTCCTGGAGTCTAAGAGCCACTTTCCTGGCTACTTGCCACCTGCAAGTATTCTTTTCCTCTCCCCTATCAGTGGCATGTGTAGAGGACATTCCTGGGGGCCCTGGCCACAGGTGACATATACAGCCAGCCTGGAGGCACCAGTGCTTCAGCCCAAGCTCTTCTCTTGCCAGTGGGGCCTCTTGGGCTAGCATGTCGAGGAGCAGTCAGAGGACAGTACTTCACGGCCAGGCCTGTCTTTGTCCCATTCCCAGTCCGGCAGGTTGGTGCCGGTGTGAGCAGCCTGGGGCTCAGGACTGGGGATTTATCTCTGGGTTCAGGCAGGCCCCCCTCACACTGCCTGCCAAGTCTGCATGCCTTCCTTCTTAGGTCCTTATTTACTCAAAGCCTAGCTTGGATGCTGAGGCAGAGCCAGCCAGCTCAGGAAGAAGCACAGGGGGTTTGGGTCGGTAGGAAGAGGAGGAGATGGCATCCCCAGAGAGGCAGAGGCAGCGGCCCTTGCACAGCCACTGCGGTGTATGCCAGTCGCCTTACCAGCCGGTGGCCGCGGCTGCTGATGGATAGAGCAGGAGGGAGGGAGAGAGAGCTGAGTGGGAAGCACCCACATGGTAGCACACATCGCCTGTAACTCCCGTTCCAAGATCTGATGCACACCCATGCATACAGGCAAAAGACCCATAATAAGTATTGCCGGGCCTTAGTGGCACACACCTTTAATCCCAGCTCTCGGGAGGCAGAGGCAGGAGGATCTCCGTGAGTTCAAGGCCAGCCTGGTCTCCAGAGTGAGCTCTGGGGCAGCCCCCAAAGCTACGGGGAAACCCTGTCTTGTAAAACTTAAAAAATAAAATAAGTATTATTTTATAAGAGGGAGCTCTTGGCGACTGGACAGAGGAGGACACCCACAAACTACAGGAATGGGGTGAAGCTTGCTGCTGTCCTGAAAGCATCTGCCTCAGGAGCCTGACAGTTGGCACTGGAGTCTGACGGCTTCCCCATGCTCTGTCCAGGTCTGGCGCTTGGCGATGTTCCTAACCGGCAGCCCATTGGCATTGTCCTCACGGTGCTGGGAGTGGTGGTCCTGGATTTCAGTGCTGATGCAACTGAGGGGCCCATCCGTGCCTACCTGCTGGATGTGGTAGACAGCGAGGAGCAAGATATGGCCCTCAACATCCACGCCTTCTCTGCTGGTAAAGCCCCTGCCGGGCCCAAGGTGGGAGGGTTGGATCTGTACTCCTTAGTGGCAGTGACCAGAAAGGGCGCCTTAGGAAGCACCGTGACTCACTCCTGACCCAGCAGGGTTGAGGGACTGAGGAGCAGAGCTAGGAGAGAAGAGAGTAAAGGTTGCCTGGATGGCACGTGCCAGGTGGACGTGGCGAGGGCCCACACCGACACTGCCTGGGGAACACACAGGTGGGCTGGGGTTGCTTCCAAGCCTGAGGCTCCTTTTGGCTTTATTTCTGACTGCGAATAACGTTAGCCAGTCTTCAGATCTGTGCTGTCATTGGAATCATTTGATGTGTTTATCTCAGCTGTCCTTCCATTCTCCATCTCACTGTCCTTCTCTTCCGACAGGCCTTGGTGGGGCCATCGGCTATGTGCTGGGTGGGCGGGACTGGACACAGACCTTCCTGGGTGACTGGTTCCGGACACAGAACCAAGTGCTGTTCTTCTTTGCCGCCGTCATCTTCTCTGTGTCCGTGGCGCTGCATCTCTTCAGCATAGAGGAGGAGCAGTACAGCCCACAGCAGGACCGCAGTCCTGACGATGCCACCCTGCCCAGCACCAGTGCCCTGCCCAGCACCTCGGCCCCCGCTACCCGCCTCAGCTCCCTGGGCGGGGGCGTAGAGGACGGCAGCCCCCCGTTCCCAGATGAGGTGCAGTCGGAGCACGAGCTGCCCTTGGACTACCTCGATGTGGACATGGTGCGCAGCAAGAGTGACTCCGTGCTGCACATGCCTGACGCTGCCCTGGACATGGAGCCCGAGCTGCTCTTCCTGCACGGCATAGAGCCCTCCATCTTCCATGACGCTTCCTGCCCCAGCACCCCCCGGAGCACCAGCCAGGAGCTCCTGAGGGCCAAGCTGCCTCGCCTGTCCACGTTCCTCAGGGAGTCCACCAAGGAGGACGACACCTTGCTTGATAATCACTTGAATGAAGCTAAAGTCCCAAATGGGAGAGGTTCCCCACCAATGGATTCATTCGGTAACCGCTCTAAAGTGGAATTGAAGCCTTCAGCCACATCTGGTTCCATGAGGCGGCGCAGGCACACGTTCCACAGACAGGCTTCTAGCACCTTCTCCTACTATGGTAAGATTGGGTCCCACTGCTACCGCTACCGCCGGGCCAACGCAGTGGTCCTGATCAAGCCATCTCGAAGCATGAGTGACCTGTATGACCTGCAGCAGCGCCAGCGATCCCGGCACCGCAACCAGAGCGGGGCCACTGCCTCCAGTGGGGACACGGAGAGCGAGGAGGGCGAGACGGAGACCACTGTGCGCCTGCTGTGGCTGTCCATGCTAAAGATGCCCAAGGAGCTGATGCGGCTGTGCCTCTGCCACCTGCTCACCTGGTTCTCCGTCATCACAGAGGCTGTCTTCTATACTGACTTCATGGGCCGGGTTATCTTCGAAGGGGACCCCCAGGTGAGCCCCCCATGGCCAGCAGCTCTACTGTACAGGAGAACTAGGCAGTCTCCATGTCTGGGGCTTGTTGTGAGCCTGCATGCACTGCCCTTGCACCCACATGCCCGTGTGGGCCTGGGTAATGCCCAGAAGGCAGCTGGCCAGAGCTTACCTCAACGCATGGTCTGTTGTCAAGCTCAGACAAAGTGGCGATGGTGGGGTCTGTGGTGACTGTTTGTGAATGGAGTGTTGAATCAGCTACCAAAGTAACAGCCTATCTTTATTCTTGCCAGAGCCTGCTAGTGGTTCTGGGCTTACCCCATGGTGTGTAGGTGGTCACAGTGGTGTGTTACACCTTTTTCTGCCAGTCTAGACCAGCCATGGGCAGAACTCCACTTCTCCTTGTGGAGTGGACTGGGAGGGACTGGAAGTAGTTTACCAGATACCGACCTGGACTTGGGTTGGTTCTCCTCCTCACTGGAGTATCTGTCACCTCTTGATCTGCCTGCCTGGGAGAGCAAAGCAATCTCCTCTGCCCTGCGGGTGGTAAGCGCACTCAACCTCCTCTCTCTGCAACAGGCCTCCTCCAACTCTACCAAGTGGCACGACTACAATGCCGGCGTGAAGATGGGCTGCAGGGGCCTGGTCATCTACGCTGCTACTGGTGCTATCTGCTCAGGTGAGAACTGGGACCCTTTCTTCTGCCTCAGTAGAGGAAAAGCCAGCAAAGTGCTGTCCCATGACAACGGTCCAGCATGGACGGTATCTGTGTATTAGCATGTTGTCGCTACCATACCAACCCCACCTGGGGCCCAGCAGTCTGAGGGGAAGTGGAACAGGTCCAGACTGCCAGGGACAGGAGCCCTGATGAGTGGGGTAATGTGTTCTCACCCTAAGGCAGCATGCCTCACTTACTCCCTACACTTGAAAGAGTTAGGACTGGAGTCTCCTCCCTTAGCTGCCTGGAATGGAAGTTGGCTTTGCCTCATCTGTAGGTGAAGAGTATAGGGTGAGGCAGGTCAGCCAGGTGTCAGGGTGACAGAGATTCCTCCTGGAGGAGATGGTGCCTGGGAGGACCCAATCAGAAGGCAGGATCCTGAGGCCGGCCAGAATGACAAGGGAAGGGCCAGCCAAGGGCAATCAGCAGCCCAAGGTGGCCACAGAGAGCTGACTTGAAGAGCTGGAGCCTCTGGGAATCCAGGTGGGCATGGGACTGCATGGTTCAGGGGGCAGGTCTTTATATGCCCGAAGGCCTAAGTTCAACCAGAAGGAGGCAGTGATGGGGATAAGGGGTGTGTGTAGGGCCACAGCTAAGTCATGACCCTTGTGGCCCTCTCTGCAGCCTTGCTACAGAAGTACCTGGACAACTACGACCTGAGCATCAGGATCATCTATGTGCTGGGGACTCTGGGCTTCTCCGTGGGCACCGCTGTGATGGCCATGTTTCCCAACGTCTATGTGGCCATGATCACCATCAGTACTATGGGCATCATCTCCATGAGCATCTCCTACTGCCCCTACGCCCTCCTAGGGCACTACCATGACATCAAGGAGGTACAGCTAGTCTGAGGGTGCTGGGTGGAGGTGGCGATGGGATCACCTAGAGCCCTGCTTGGCCTTGGGTCTGCTCAGAGCCCTGCCATCCCTCTATCTTCCCTTCCGATGACGGCAACAGCTCCCACTCTCCTACTCATTCCTTGGCCATCCATCCACACCCTAGGACCTGTCACAGCTGGGAACAAGAGGCTGCCCTGCACACATGCCGTTCACCGTCATGTTCTCCACTAGTGGGCAGTTCCTTTCCCAGCTCACTGTTTGGTTGGGCCCAGGTCCCCAGCTAGCCTCAGTGTCCTTGTCTCGTGCAGCATTTGGAGAGTTACTCTGTTAGCCACTGCCTCTGAGGCATCACTGCTGGTGCCTTTGTGTAGGGGGATTGGAGCTGGGTGTAGTGGCGCACAGCTACAGATCCAGCAGTAGGGAGGAGAAGGCCAGAGGATCAGGACTTCAAGATCCTCCCCCAGCAAGTTCAAGGCTAGCCTGGGTTACTTATAGCCCTGATTTAAAAGTGAAAAACAGAAAACAAGCAGCTGGGCTTAGTCGCACATACCTTTAATCCCATTAATCATTAAAGCAAATCAATTTGTTCTATAGGTACACACCACACCCACTCCTAATCAAACCTAATGGTAATGGTGTTTTGTAGAGAAACTCTGCAGGCTTCATAACCATTGAGGCTGAGCTACTTGCTGGCATTTCAGAGGTGTCATATAGAATCATCCAGACCAGGAAAGATGGTGGCAGAGTCTAGAAGCCCTTTCTCCTTCTGCTGCCCTGTTGTCACCTGCACCTGAAGGTCCGTCTGACCTTCCTGAAGCAAGACTGGCGTTTTCTGTTCCACCATCTGTATGACTTGGGTAGCATGGCAGGGCTTATACCACTGGTCCCAGGCCTCTGTGCTACCTCATGCTGTCTGCCCAGCAGGTTCGAGTGTGGCTTGAGGTAGCGGATTAGACTCTGACGTTCTCCCCCCAAGAGGGTGCTCTCGGGACCCAGGCCTCCCATCCTATCTTCATTGCTGCCGAATGGCCACGTGTGCCTTGCTCCTGGCCAGCTCTCTGCCCCTGCACAGATGTTATGCGCAACTCCTCTGTGTTACTCAGGGTCACTCCAGCTGTCCCATTGTAGTCTAGGCTGGTCCCCAACTCACAGAAATCCTATTGTCTCCCCCCTAGTAAGTGATAGGATTACAGACACGAACTACCATCTGGAGAAACAAGTTTCTCCTTGATTTTGAGACAGGGTCTTACTAGTATCCCTGACTGGCCTGGAACTCAAAAACAATCCACCTGCCTCCAACACCAGAGTGCTGGGATTAAAGATGTGTGCAACAAAACCTAGGTAATGTCCCCCCACCCCCAAGATCTTTGTAAGGCCTCAGGGAGATAGCTTAGTGGATAAAATTGGTGTCCAAGTGAACTCAGATCCCCAGGATCTGTGTAAGGTGTGGTAGCTTGTATCTATAAGTATCACCCAGTGCCAAGTGGGCAGAGACAGAAGGGCCCTGGGGCTGGCAGCCTGGATAGCTGTCTCAGAGGAGGAGGTGGAGAGGGATAGAGGGCAAAATACCTGATGCTGACCTGTGTCTCCATAGGGTGTGTGTGTGTGTGTGTTTCTTTGATGATGTTGTTGTTTTTCAAGACAGGGTTTCTCTGTGTAGCCCTGGCTGTCCTGGAACTCACTGCAGACCAGGCTGGCCTTGAACTCAGAGATCACGTGCCTCTGTCTCCCTCAGCTCACACAGAGATTTTTATGGTTTTTGTCTTGATTTCTATTTTGAATGCAAGGATTATTTGGAAGTATGTTGGTGGCTCTGTGATATTTGGGAGGTTTTAATGACGGTCATGGTGGATTGGTTTCTAATGATTAAAGTCAGAGAACACACATGTGTACGATCTTAGTCTTTGCATTAATTGATCACTCAGGCTGTGGCCCAGCATATCCTATATCTGGTGAAATTTGTGTTCTGCCCTCACTGTGACCATTGGGTAAGGCAGGATTTGTTTGTTGTCTTTCTGGTTCCTGGGAGATGGGTTTACAATCTCCCTCTGACTGTGGTGTACTCAAGCCTAAAATCTTAGTGTGCTTTCCATCTTCTGGGTAGATTGGCGACATCTTCTCTGGAGACTTGGGGCGAGCATAGCCATGCAGTGCACAGACATGCTTTTATATCATGTTCGAGAAACATGAGCAAACAAAACTGTGCAGTGCTCCTGTTCTGTCACTGAGCCACGTGCATGGGAGTAACTTGAGCTCCCTGCTCTCCAAGGAGACCATCAGGTTGAGGTAGACATTTCTGTGTCTGCCCTGCTTCTCTTCCTTGGGGCTGGAGGCAGTGTTCTGGGAATCAAATCCTGTTTAGGATGCAGAACTGCTTCTGTGTCCCCTCTGTGAGCCAGAATTTTCTATCTCTTCTTCCTGCCCATGCCAGGTAGGGCCTGGGGCTCGGGGGAACGCAGTTGGGTGGCTGCCTAGAAGCTCCGGGAGTTGAGTCTCCTGGTGTAGGTGAAGCCCGCCTTCTCTGTGCCCTCACGCCCGTGTCCCTTCTCTTGCAGTACGTTCACCACAGTCCCGGGAACTCCAAGCGTGGATTTGGCATCGACTGCGCCATCCTCTCCTGCCAGGTCTACATCTCCCAGATCCTGGTTGCATCTGCCCTTGGGGGCGTGGTCGACGCTGTAGGGACTGTCCATGTCGTCCCTGTGGTGGCCTCAGTGGGCTCTTTCCTGGGCTTCCTGACAGCCACATTCCTGGTGATCTACCCCGAGGTGTCAGAGGAGGCCAAGGAGGAGCAGAAAGGCCTGTCCGCAGGGCCCACTGGCGAAGGCGAGGGCGGAGCAGGCAGTGAGAAGCCCACTGTGCTGAAGCTGTCTCGGAAGGGGGGCCCTCGGGGACCAGTGGAGACAGAGTCCATGGTGTGAGCCCCAGCTGGCACATTCCATGCCGGAGGGCAGGTGGACTGGGGACTGTGCTTGCCGACACTGTGTGAGCTGAAGTTCCTTCCCAGAGCGCAGTTCAAGTTCAGTAGGTGTTAGGTGTAGGGTAGGTTTGAGCTATTAGGCAAAAATATCACACTAATTACCTTTCCCACAATTGAAAAAAAAATCATTTGAAATCTTTTTTTATTGAAAAAACTTAATTTCAGCTGTCTTTTATTCTGCAGGTATTCCATTCTGCATGTTTTAAACTGTGAACCATTCACAGTATAGTCAATAAGCAATTTAGAAAATGTAAAGGGTCTGCATTTCTAAAACAGTAACTGAAAGAGCAGAAACCCGGACTCCCTTGGCAGGTGTCATCTGAAGGCAGCAGACAGCAGTGCAGTGTTGAGATTGCCCAGCAGGTGTCCCGAGGGCTCCTCCACATCACGCTGGCACTGCAGTGCCTCGGAGCATTTTTCTCTGTTTATTTTAGAAACGGTATTTTCTTTTTCATAACTGTGGTTTTCTTAGAACAGCGTCTCTAGCGAATTGGGTCCACAACCCTGTGCACAGCTGTCAGTGCCTGAGACCACACACCACAGCTGGGGAAGGGCCCCAGAGCTGTTTGAGCAGAAGGTGGCCATTCCCAGAGCAGCCTTCAGACACCCCGCCCAGGGACAGCACAGGTCAGGAGTTCTGAACGTGAACTGGCATTGGGCCTCCTGCGTGCTTGCGTGTGAGTTTGTCTGTGCCCAGCTCCTTCCCACATGCTCCTCCCCAGAGACCACCACAGGGCAGCCGTTGGCTCTGTGCGACACTTCAGTTTGTCTCTGCGCCTTTGACTGGGAATCCAGGCCCAGAGCTCCAGGTGAGCACTAGCCCCTGAGTCCTGCTGCAAGGCTACCTCGAGAGTGTGGGGAACAGGGAACGTGAGGGTGCCGAGGCCTACCTCCCTGCCATATTGGTGACACTTGTCCTCGCTGGAACCTAACTGAAATCTTGTGACCTCATCACCTGCTCCTGCTGATGGCCACGGGAATGAGAACGAAGGCAAAGAGAAGCAAGTGTCTGCCTGGGCAGGAGGGCCAGTGACCCAAGAGCCCAGCACGGTTTCCAGTTTCTGCACATGAGCAAAACTTGGGCCTCAGGGAAGCAGGCTCCTCAGATGCTGCAGCTGTGGGAAAATACTTTTCAAACCATGATCTCTGTCAAAAACACCACAGTCGTGTCTCTTCACTTGTGAAACAGTTAGTCTGCACTCAGGAGAGGGGAGGGCCTCCCTCCCTGGATGATAACAGATGAAGTCAAACCATCCCTTGCTGCCTGACTGGTGTTTTACACAAAGAACTTTACAGTGCATGAGAGTCATGCTGCAATGTGAGCATTCTATCGAAAATATAGACCGTATATATTTCAAGATGAGAGTAAGCCGTTTTTAAATAAATTACTTGAATTTTCTGTGTATTCAAAGGAATGCTGTGTTTAACATTCTTGGCAAGCCTCGGTCTTGCCACATTCCCACACTGGTGGCGCTTTGTAGTTTGTAGTGTTTTGTGTCTGGGAGCAAAGGTGTGTGCTCAGGATATCTTTCACCTGCCTAGGCCTGCAGAGGACCGGCTTCACCTTCCAGTGCTTTCTGTGTTGCCAGGTGAGAATAGCATTGCAAACCTCCGTTTCGGATGGGAGAAGTTGGACTACCAAGCAGAGTCCCCACACTGAGCCCTCCAGCCAGCCAGGCCCCATCAGTTGGGTGATCTGTCCCTCTGGGGACGCAAGCGCCGCTGGATTCTTCTCTTGAGTCGGTGTTCTTGGCAGGTGGCTTTAAGAGGGTGTCCCTCCCTCTCTCCTGAGAGCTCTGGTCCATGATAGGGCCCACAGCCCCTGTTTGCACGTGCCCTGCCTTTCCACCATGCCGTAGGAAGAAGAGGGAAGCGGGAGCGCTGAGAACAGTAAGTGGGCAACCCTGGAATCCTCACACCAAGTGTGGGTCTTAGGAGACTGCATGGTGCTCAGAGCACCCCCACCCACAGGCTCAGGCCATGTTTACTGACATTGGATGTCGGAGCAGAGACCAGACCCACAGGAGGAAGAGATACAGGGCTGCCACATGCAGTCTGCCAGCCCTCAGATGCTAGCCTCCATGCACCATACGAAGTAGCACAAGGACACTTGGTGGTCATGGCACAGGCCTTGGCAGCTGACACCCTGGAAGAAGAGTCAGCTAGAAGAGTGACTGTTCGTTGCTGTCAGGTTAGGCTGCACGTTGGTTGTTTTAAAGACCTGAGCCTGTTAGATGCTTGCATCAAAAGCCTGCTGTCTGTGGGTCTGGTCAGGGTGCAGCAGGGTTGCTGTCTGGGCTTCCTTGCAGATAAAGTGAGCCGTGGGCCTCAAGGTGGGTGTCCAATCGGGGATAGGAAAATAGCAGGCCCTTTTGCCTAGCCCTTCCCTCTCTGGGAGATTACTCTGAGATGGCACAAGAAGCCAAGGGAAGACTGGCATTACAGGGTGATACCAAAGTCTGTACTGCTCAGACAAACCCAAGAGTTTCTGTTTTCTGATCTGGCTGTCCATTCAGCAGCCTTGGGTAGTGAGATCCCAGAGAGTGCCTGAGTAGCTCCTCTGTGAGGACCTAGGGGACTGGCAGGGTCAAGATGATGCCCACTAGGTGGCCAGTGCTGAGGATGCAACACGGAGTTAGCTTTGTAGCGCCTTGGGGCCTGGACTGCATGCAAGTGCCATGTAGGAATTCACTGTCCAAGGCTACAGAATGCACACAGGTTACTGTAGAAGGCAGTGATGATCGTCTGAACCCTGCTTTGTTGCCTGTGAAAGTCAACTACCAGTTATTTTAGGAGATACCTCTTAAGATGTGCAGGCCAAGTATACCTGTGCAAGAGTATGAGCTGCTAGGAAGGGGTCCAGCCTACTTGTGGCGGGGAGCAGAATGGCATGGCGGTACTCCCCAGGGTCTGCAGTCCTCAGACTCCCACCCTTGATATCCTTAGGGCTCTGTGAGGGCTGCTTCGGGAGAAGTTGGGAGGGAGAGCCCAGGACCTTGTTGGTAGCCTGAAGTGGTTAGGATATCATAGAAAGTGCTGTGGCCCCTCCAGCAGCAGCAGCCAGGGCACCCATTGTCTCATCTCCCTGGTGCCCCTGGCTTGTGCCACCCTGGAGTGGATGGCTGGTGACCTGTGTGCTGCAACCATGGCCACATTCGCCACAGGTCAGTGTTGTGAAACACCATCTGCTCAGACTGGACACTCAACTCCCCACGCGCCAGATGCCATGACTTCCCAGCTGTCTGCCTCTACCTGAGCCTCTTCTCTTCAGCCACCCAACACCTGGAGCGCACAGGTGGGTGGTCCTCCCACGGCTGTCACCAGAAATGGGCTCAGCCCTGTGCATGTGAGCAGTGCTTCCAAGAGTGCCTGGGGACCGCCCGGCATCGCAGCCTTGCCACCAGTTTATCCCAGATTGAACTGACTGTTAAACGTGACAAGCAGGAGATGGACACTCAGCAGCTCTTGTCACCACCTCATGAACAGCCAGCATCACCATCGTGGCTGAAGCCTGAGATGGCCCCTTGGATGGCCACTCTTGAGCCTCCAGGAGAGCTAAGCATCCTCTGGGAGCCCCGCCCCCAAAGCCTGCCAAAGGTCGTGTGCTGGGATATGTAGCCGGCCACTGCACAGCTGTTGGAAAGGCTTCAGCACAGGGGTACTCCCCAGGCACCTCGGAGCAAAACTATTTAGTTCCTTTGAGAACTGGAAACAGGACAACTGTTATCAACTTATTAAGTTGGAGCACTGTAATAGCTCTTGCTGATTTTAGCAATGGTCAAGTGTGTGTTAAACACATAATGTTATATTTTATGAGGAAACTTAAGAGTACTAACACACGGCTGTGTTTTTCATTAGGTGGATGTTTAGTCTGCTCTGTCCAGAGTCCGGGGGCTTTGTCTGTTCTTTGTCACATGCTGGGTCACTGGTCCCTGTACACAGTTGAGTGTGTATGGCCTGACTTCTTCCTGCCAGGCTAGTGCCTCCCCTGCCTCTATTCCTGTTACGCTGTGGTTGACTAAATAAACGTTATCATTACAGGTGATGGTGTGGACCTGTCATTTCCAAATGGCTGCTCTCTGGGAGACTGTTGTGTCCAGGGGGAGGCAGAAGGCTCCTCCTGGCCGTGGCCAATGCCTGCAAGCATGGCCCAGTTCCTCGGAGCTCCCCCAGGGCTCAGGGAATGGGCTCCTTCAGCTTAGGTGTGCAGCAGCCCAGAATCACAACTGCCTAGAGGTGAAGAGGTTTGGCCTGTTCCTGGTGGTGGGATAGGGACCTCCCTGCTGCAGGGACAGTGGTGGGTCTCCTAACGAGCAGCAGGGGAGGGAGGGTCTGGTGAGAGCTGACCACATAGGCAGGGGGTAGCTTTTGACCCACGCACGCGCGCGCGCGTGTGTGTGTGTGTGTGTGTGTGTGTGTGTGTGTGCGCGCGCGCGCGTGTGTGCGTGCGTGCACACAGCCTCGGGTGCTGGAGGTGGGTGTCTCTTAGGCCTTCCTGGGACAGAACATGTTATCTGAGTGTCCTGGAAACCTGCTAAGTTCTGTGACAGTCACAACCTCTTGATAGAGTTCTCAACCTGGGTCATTCCTGGAGTACACACCCATGAACAGCTGCTGGCTGTGGAGCCCTAAAGGACCCTTGGGGCCATTACATACTACAGCTGGGACGGAGAATAGTGGTTTCTGACACATGACAAGTGTTGGTAGCGACCCAGGGCCCTGAGATCCTACTTCCATACATACCCCCACCCCGAGAGCCTGGTGTCGCGTGTGGCAGCTGGGAAAGAATTTCTGCAAAGGGGCACCCCATTGCCTGCTGCAGGGGCCAGACTCAGTACCCTCAGTGAAGGGTGTGTGGTTCACACATGCTATATAAGTATATACTATAGAAGTGTATATATATACTTCTCTTCCACTCAACAGTTCCGGAATAACCACCCAGAGGCTTCATATTAATTACAAACTGTTGGGCCTGTTAGCTCAGGCTTATGATTAACTAGATCTTAAACTAAATTAACCCATTTCTCTTAGTTTATGTTTCACTATAAGGCTTGTGGCTTACCGCTCCACATCTTGCTTCCCCAGTTGTTACTGAATGTCTTCTTGTCCCGCCAGATCCCACCGCCTCAGCCCCAAATAAGCACAGACTCTGTATTAATTATTAAAATTTTGGCCGATGACTAGGGCTTCTCACTGGCCAGCTCTGTCTTAATTATTAACCCATTTCTATTAATCTGTGTGTGTCCACATGGTCTTGGCTTCTACTCCTTTGTTGACTACGTGGTGACTCTGTTTGGTGGGCTCTCTCTGCCTACCTTTCCCAGAATTCTCCTCATCCTAGTCCCGTTTGTCTTCCTGTCTCATTGGCCAGACAGTGTTTTATTCATCAACCAATAAGAGAACATACATGCAGAGAATGGACATCCCCCATCACTCAGTGGCTACTGGAGTCTCCTCCTGACTTGTTTCTCCCTGCCTCTCCTTGGATTTCCCTCCTGGCTCTGTTCTGCCTGGCTACTGGCCAAATCAGCTTTATTCATCAACCAATAATAGCAACACATATTCTCAGCGTATAGAAGGACGTCACATCAGGAACCCTCTCCTAGCTTCCTTCCTAAAGGGCAGCCTCTCAAGTCGTATGTGTTCAGTAACTCGTGAGGGGTAAGAGCCCCAAGTCTCCTGTCACTCCAGAGGCTTCACACCTGTGTCTCAGCACACTGGAGTACAGCTGTGCACAGGTCTCAGCACACTGGAGTACAGCTGTGCACAGGTCTCAGCACACTGGAGTACAGCTGTGCACAGGCCTCAGCACACTGGCGTACAGCTGTGTACAGGTGCCCCTGGCTGAGGAACAAGTTGGCGTTTTTTTCTTTTTTTGCTGTGTGAATGATGGGACTTAGCGCTCATGCTAAGCCACATACTCCGCTATCACATGACATTTCAGTGTGATTTAAGTTGTGTTTTGCTGAACGTTAACCATGCTAAGCATCTGTTTCCTATTTATGAGTGTTTTGCCTGCATGTTTACACAGTCACCATGAGTGTGCATGTTTACACATTCACCATGTGTGGATAGGTTCCTGCAAAGGCCGGAAGAAGGCATTAGGTCCCCTGGAGCTGGAGGTGTAGACTGAGAGCCACCCCATGGATGTTGGGAACCAAACCCAGGACTTTGCAACAGGAGCAGGTACCCTTAAGCACAGAGCCACCTCTCCAGTCCTATTAAACATCTTTTAAAAGTGGTCATCTAGGTCACTTCATTGGTAAGGTACCTTTTACTTAGTTTTCAGCTTAGCTCTTTGTCTTGTTAATTTGTAGATGTCCTTTACATATTGGATATTTAAATTTTTTAGGAATATTGTCAGATCTAGTGTTTCCCATAGTTACAGTTTCTTTTTTTCTTTTTTTTTTTTTTTTTTTTTTTTTTTTTTTGGTTTTTCGAGACAGGGTTTCTCTGTAGCTTTGGAGACTGTCCTGGAACTCACTTTGTAGACCAGGCTGGCCTCGAACTCGCAGAGATCCGCCTGCCTCTGCCTCCCGAGTGCTGGGATTAAAGGCGTGCGCCACCAACGCCCGGCTTCTATTTTTTTTTAATTCATTTATAGTATGGATTTTGAAACAGGACCTTGCTCTGTGGCTCAGGCTAGACTTAGACACACCATGATCCTCCTGCCTCAGCTTCAGAAAAGCTGGGGTCACAGACATGAGCCACTTTCGTCTTTATACTGTGTCTTGATGGAGTCTAATCAGTCCGCTGTCTTTCTTGTGTAGCATTCCTCACATGCTGCCCAGTCCTTTCCTGTCCTCGTCTTCAGGGCTTCCATCTCCACATTAGGTCGGGGGAGTGCCCTGACACCCACCCTGCGCAGTCAGCAAGGGCGCCTTCCCATGCCTCTAGGCTTCAGCCTATGCACTCTCCCCATCCAGTGACTTTCCTGTTTCTGTACAGTCACCCAGAACCTGCATTTTGTCCTTCTGGCCGGCTGGCCTGTCAACCACAGGTGGCATCATTGTTTTCTCAATCATTGACATTTGTGGGGATGGTTAAAAATCACGTCCTTCGAACTTGTATCTCTGATCTTGTTTCCTTTTTTAAAATTTAAATTAGAAACAAGCTTGTTTCACCTGTCAATCCCAGTACCCTCTCCCCTCCTCCCTTCCCCCACACCCTTTCTGCTCCTCCATTCGTGCACTAGGCATAAATACTGATCCACTGCCAGAAGCCCCATGGATGGCCCAGGCCGCCTAACTGATACCCACGTTTAGGGGATCTGTGTCGGTCCTATGCTGGTTTCCCAGTTAGCAGTCTGGGGTCCGTATCTCTTTTCTCAGCATCTCTTCATGTGGTGCAGTCTCCAGCTGGATGGGAACTCACAGTCACTTAGGAGGAAACATCTTTCCAGTGTTAAGCTTTGCAGTTCACGGAGGCCGTCTGTCTTTTGAGACTTTTCAAATGCTCTGTCCAAGGTGCCCTGAGTTTTCAGGTACTGGTCTCCCGGCCCTCCCTGTCTTGTATGCTGTCCTTCCACCCCTGCTGGTCTACACTGTGGCAGCACAGCCTGAGTCCCCAGTTTTCTGCTGCAGGCTTGTGTCCTGAGCTCACATCCATTTCCTGTTTCATGATCCTCAGATTTACACAGACAGTGATGTCTGCAATGTCTGATGACAGACAGACAGACCACAGGCTCCTTACAAGACATTATTAGACGTTGTTGTCTTATCATTTTTACTGTTTTATGGGGATAGGTGTTTGCCTGCTTGAATCTGTGTTCCACGTGCATGCAAGGTGCCCAAAGAGCCCAGAGGAGGGCATTGGATCCCTGGAACTGGAGTTACAGCCAGTTGTGAGCTACCATGTGGGTGCTGGGAACTAACCCTGGATCCCCTAGAAGAGCAGCCAGTGCGTTTATCCAGCGAGCCATCTCTCTCTCTCTCCTCCCTCCCTCCCCCCCTCTCCCTCCCTTCCTCCCCAGGAGCAGGCTCACATTACAGCTTCAGGTTGATCTCAAGCACCTGGCTGTCCTCCAGCCTCAGGCTCCCAAATAATAGGATTATAGGCATGAGCCACCACACCTAGCCAGTCCAGTCTTCGTATGCTTTCTGTTCTTGCCCGGTGCAATAGCCGAGCCTTCGTGCAGTGTTGCCTGGGAGAGGAGAGAGCAGATTCCCTGCCTGTTGCCCGTCTTGGGGAAAGCAGTGAATCTTCATATTATTTGTCAGGTGTGCACCCAGTAGGTGCTCTGTCTACCTGAGGAAGTACCCTCCCTTGTAAGCTTGCAAACACTTTAAACATGCCTAGGGCTGAGCATGTAGCTCGGTTGCTCTGGGGCTTTACTGCAATGAACAAAGCCCTGGGCTCTAACTCAGCACCACATAAACCAAGTGTAGTAGCCTCTAATTAAATCCTGTGGTCAGAGTGTGTCCTATAGATTCAAACCTTTCTTAACCCTGTGTGGTCAGAGGGCATGTTCTGCGGTATTCGGCCATCTAACTGTGTGGTCAGACGAATGTTCTATGGGAATCAGACCTTTCTTAGCTGTATGGCCTACTATGTGCTGCAGCTCCCCGAACTTTCCCTCTACACTGCTGCTGTTGGATCTTGTGCACCCTCGGGTTCTACAGATCATTGGAAGAAAGATGTCACAGCCTCTATCTGCAGTCTGGGGTTTGTCCCTTTGCTCCTCTTTTTTCCATGTCCCTATTGGCATATCTAATCCTACTAAATACAAGACTTGTGCTTTTTTTTGTTTGTTTGGTTTTTTGAGGCTGTGGATAAACTTGAGCTCCTGACCCCTGACTGAGTCCTGCGGTCAGTTTCTCTTTCCAAGTTGGCAGTCGGCCACCGTTTCCTGAAGCTGGTCGTGTCTGATGAGCACTGTGTGTTATTTTCTTATACCATTCTTTGCCCTTTTATCTCAGCCATGAGTTTACAAACCCCACCCCTGGTAGACAACATATGATGGCATTCGGGAGGTAGGAGTCGCCATCTCCTTCCACCATGTGGGTCCCAGAAGTGAACTCAGGTTGTTAGGCCTGGTGGG